CTTTTTCCTGCAACCCATCACCAACAACAGGACGGCCTTCCCCGATGCCCCGGAGGAGGTGAGAATCTAGATAGAAGCTTTTGGGGGGATTGGGGGAAGAGTGAGGGGCAGGAGGATGGAGGGGCTGAACCGTTGGGGTGCTTATCCCTTTCCTCAGTGCCCAACCCCTTCCACTGGGTTAGCTTCTACTTATCTGTTTTATTAATCTACACGGATTGGCAAACGTCTGTGTGCACAAAGGGCCTGGCATCCTAGGAATTTCTTGGGAATATCTTTGTCCGGGGTTTATTTGCAATCCTTTTCCGTTGTGCGTGTTTAAATTGGAATTTAGGAGGAGGTCCCTAGGTGGGGGCCAGTGGTGGGGCTGCCCAGAGCCCCTGGTGCTGGCCAGCAGAGCCCCTTCTCCCCCTGCACACCACCCCCCTCCCCCCGACAGTGGCAGCTCCTCCTCCTGTGCACAGCGTCCTCGCCTGGTCTGTGAAGCTGACCCTGAGGCCAGGCAAGAGGCAGGGAGGGAGCCCTGCTGTCAGCACCCGGGCAGGCGGACAGGAAAACCAGCCCCGACATCAGAGGCCTGCACTCCATGAGTCCCTAGGAGCCCCACACATCCTGCCCGTGCTCCCAGGCACAGCAAGGCCTGGGCCAGGGGCCTTATGGGGAAGCACCTTGACGTCTGAGAACACAGATGGGGGCCCTGCTAGAACCACCAACACCCTGGGCACCAGGAGGACACATGGGGAGGCAGCAGCTGCAGCCCCACAAACCAGCCCCACCATGTGCCATCCCCTACATCCAGAGGGGCCCTCAGAGCCTTTTGAGGGGCTTGGGGGGCAGGGAGGTTACTGTCAACAAGGCCTCTGGGAGGGAGCACTCTTCACAGCTGTTCAGGAGCCCATTTCAAGGAAAAGAAACATCCCATCCCCACCCGAAGGGGGAGACCCAGGCCCTACCTGGGGGGCGAGTGTGGGACTGGGCTTGCTCACTGACACATCTCAGGGCTCCTCCACGATCCCTCCCCCGGCGAAGGGCAGGGCCACGGGGGCGGGGGGTGGAGGGGGAGTGGACTCCCTGAGTAAGCAGGGTCACTGTGCTTCCAAGGAAGGTGACTCAGGCAGGAAGAGGAAAGGGACACCTCCGGGGCTGGACACGTCCTCACCTGGCCTAGCGGCACTGGGAAGACCATGTGCCCTCTCACACCCCACTGCGCCCAGGAAAAGAGCCTTTGCAAAGGGAGACAGGCCCTCGGGGCACAGGGGAGATTCCCGGGGCCCAGAGACGTGTTACCGCCCTAGAGAAGCCAGAGCCAGGCTTCCACCTGGACCTCCTGACCCCCAGCACACCCTGCAGCTGCCCCGCTGCCCAAGAGGAGGAGACAGCGCTGTATCCCACCCCCATGCCCACCACCCCACCTGAATCCTACAAATGACGGTTCCTGACTTCTCACCAACAGCATTTGCAGGAGAGCACCCGCTCCAGGTGCCCACACTCCCTCTGGGCCTGTGCCTTGGGGCATGTGCCATCTGAACCTCCCAGAGCGCTTTGCACTTACACTCTGGCCTCCCTGGCCCTAGTTTGTCCTCCCAGAGAGATTCGAGCTGCCTGAAGGCAGAGCCCAGCCTGACTCTGGCTCCCCAGGGCACTTAGGCAGAGCAGACTCCCGGTAGGTGTTTAAAAGCATTGAAGGAACAAATGACGGAGGAAATACTGTATTTCTTAAGGCCAGTCACGTGATGCACCTTGACCACCACCCCCCTAAATGGGGCTGCCCCTTGGAGCTACCACAGCCTCACGACTGGTCTCCCAGCTTCCTCACTTGGACCACCACCCCATCCTTCAGCCATATTGCAGCCAAATGAGCTTTCTAAAGAGTGTCATCATCATTCTTCAAACACTGTTGCTTTCCACTGCTCTTGGGATAAATCCAAAATCTCCAGCCTCGGTGGTTGTAAGCCCCTCATTCTTTGGGCACCAGAAGTGCTTAGTTTTCTGTTTTCTTTTTCTTTTTTTACATATTTTTATTGATTTCAGAGAAGGAGAGGGAGAGAGAGATAGAAACATCAATGATGAGAGCGAAACAGTGAATGGCTGCCTCCTCCACGTCCCCCACTGGGGATCGAGCCCGCATCCGGGCATGTGCCCTGACCAGCAATCGAACCCGTGATGCTCAGCCTCTGAGCCACAGCAGCCAGGCTCACTTAGTTCTCTTTGGTTCAAGTGGATGCTATTGTTTCTACCTCAGGGCCTTTGCATTTGCAGTTCTCACCTCCTGTCAGCTCTTTCTCTCTCTTTTACCCCCTTTGCCTCTTTAACTCCCATCATCTTCGGGTCTCAGGTTGTCTCGGTCTTGGGGAAGCCCTCCCTGGTCCCCAAGGGCACACATTCTCAAGGTAGCCTCGAATTTTCCTCTGTCACATCTCTTACAGTTGATCATTAGACTTCTCATGGTTATTTCATCCATGTCTATCCCCCACCCCTATTTTCCTGCCCCCCAAAGACCATCAGCAGGATGTGGACCTGTATCTGGCAGAAGGACACACCTGGCCCAGATATGCCCTGCACCCCAGCGGGGCTGAGACTTGGGAAGTACTTAACCCAGTCAAGAGGTCAGCCCCACCCTGTTGCCAAAAGGTGTGGGGAGGAGGGCCTGGGGGCGCGCCTACGCACCCTGAAAGAGAAAGCTCAGGAGTATTTGGAGAGAGAGATAAGGTGGCGCAAGAGCAGGAAATGAGTTCCGGGCAGCTGTTGGCCGAGGCAGGGCAGTTCAGAATGAAAGCGGAGATCAAAGCCACAGGAAGTGGGCTGTTTTTTTTTTTCAGCAACGGAAGAATCTGATCAAAGCCACACTTTCCTGTCTGGGTGGGGTAGGCCATTCATTCACTTATTTGCACGGCCATGCAACAAATATCAACAAATATGGAGGGAGCGCCTTTCTGTGCGGCAGGCACTGTGCTGTGCCTGGGGACTCAGCGGGGAGTAAAACTCTCCGGAGGTTACAGGCAGCCAGCTCAGTGTCCAGGCCAGTGTTCAAACTTCAACCCATTTGGTGAGCCACAGCCAGAATGTTAAGAAATGCAATGCATGGTGGGATGAAGTGCAATGGAATGGCATGGAAAACACGCTTATGGCTTGCTGAAGGTTTGGAGGACCGTTAGCATTGTTTAGCAATGAAGTATTTGTCAGTTACGGTATGCATATCTTTTAGACATCATGCTGCTGCACACTTAATAGACTACAGCGTCGTGTCGACATAAATTTTATATGCAGTGGGAACCAAAAAATGTGTGGGATTCATTTTATGGCACATTCCTGCTTCAGAGAAAGTCCTCTGGCAGAGCTGCAGGGTTGCAGGGCCAAGGGGACATGGACAGGGCACTGACCCTTTCTGCCAAATCCAGCCTACACCGTTTCCAGAGCATTCCGTAGTCCCCTGACTCATCTGCATTTGATTTAGAGTGATAAAACAAGATCTCTAACTTCAGTCCTAACTTTTCTTCTGGTCTCCAAATCCTTCTATCAAACCAACCATCACCCAGATGTCTCCTTTTGGATGTCCCATGAGCACCTCAAATCATCAGGCCCTGAACTTAATTCATATGAATCCCGACCCCGCCACCAAGTCTGCAAATCCAGTTTACGCTTGGGATGAATGGCACCACCATTGCCCAGTCACCAAAGCCAGAAACCAACTCCCTTCTCCCCATCACTCACAAGCCATCAGTCACAGTCCACCCATCCTGTCGCCCCTCCATCCTCTCCATCATTGCCCAGCCTGAGGGTGCCTCACCCTCTGGCACCCAGGTCACTACATTGGCTCCCTGGCTGCCCTCCCCACCCCCAACAGGCCATCTCTGATGCAGCCCAGAGAACGTTCCGGAACACAGATCTGGTTGTGTCAGTCCCATGATCCTTCATGCCTCCTCCCTCCCTGAGGATGAAGTCCAAACACCTCTACGTGAGGATTTCACATCTGGTGTCACCCCCTAGCCCACTTAATTTCCCCACGCCATCATTACCTCCACCCCACCTCCTACGCTCCAACTACTCTAGTTAGTCCTCAATCCCCTTATACACATCTATTCCTTTGTACTTGCTGGACCCACTTTCGAAACTCAATAACCTCTGCTTTGTTCACCTGGCCTATAACCTTCTAGTCCCAGCTCAGCCCTGCCTCCTCTGGAAAGCCCACCTTGATTTCCCCCACACGTCCACCGTACCTTACACATCCTCCTTTAGAGCAAAGACTCCATGAACTAGTCATGGTTTAACTGAAGATCTGCCTCCCCAACTAGCCCGTCAACTTCTTGAAGGCAGGGACATGATTTCATCTTCATTTCCCCGGCACCGAGCACACAGACAGCCAGACTGCTCCCAGAAAATCCTCAGTAAGTAATGGCCAACCTCAGTGGCTGAGCTGAGATGGGAAGCTGGACCCTTTCCCACCCTCGTGTCAATGTAGGGGACACAACCTGTTAAGGTGAGAGACAGCGTGGGGTAGCCCTTCGCCTACCAGCCCGATGCTCCTGAACCCTGTCAACAGGGGCTGGGGTTGTTGTCACGGTCGTGGGGACAGGTGCACTGAGCCGTCCACACTCTCAGGACCAGAGGCGGGATCAGATCCACAGGCAGGCTTTGAACCTGCAGCGCTGGGAGTCTCTGTCCCACTGGCCACTGCAGACAGCCTTGGCTTCGGGGACACTTGGCTCTACCCATGTGAACCAAGTGGCCAGTGAGCATCGGGGGACAGGCCTGGGTGACTCGGGACACAACGCCTTCCTTCTCTGGGCTTCAATTTCCCCACCTGCGAAATGGCAACTTGCACCAGGTCCATTCCAGCTCAAAAAACACTTAAATGTGTGATTTCAACGTTGATCCCACCAAGAAACAAGTCTGAGGGCCAGGGACCAGGAATGCCGTGTGGAAAGAACACGGTGTTTGGGGACGGCTGCCCTCCGCCCAGCCTCTACCCTGGGTACCTTGTTACGCTAGCTGAGTCCCTTTACCTTCCTCGGTTTCCTCTTCTGTAAAAGGGAATGCGGAATGGCAGCCACACCATCAAGCAGCTGTAAGAAGAAAAGCGATGGCTTATGTGACATGCCTGGCACAGTGTTTTCCCGTAACCGATGCCATGAGTCTGTGGTTCCCTCCCCTGGGTGCTGGGAGGCACCTGGGAGTGCTGGGTGCCTCTCCAGCTCAGCCTGCAGGGCCCGGAGACTAGAAAATTCTACCCTCACTCACCTGGCCTCCTATGTGGCTTCTCTTACTGCCAAGCTCGGCTCCCGGCCTGAGTCTGGCTGAGGGCCGGAGTGGCCAGGTGAGCGTGGTTAGCCACACATGTGACCACCAAGATCCCAGGCCAGAGTGCCAGAGTCCAGAGTCACACTAAGGTCTGGGGCTCGGACTCCAGTGCTCGTGTGGCCAAACAGCAGACCCCCATGTGGTGCAGGCCCATGGGCTCACTCACTGTCCAGCCACCCTCCCTCTGTCCCCAGGTGACCCTGTGCATTCCTGTGGTCTGGGGTTTGCTGGTGCGGTGGCTGCGACTGAAATCTGGGCACCCTCTCACCAGCTCATGGGGAGGGGGCTCCTTGGGCCAGATTCTTCTTCAAATGAGATTCCCGTGGTTTCCTCGGCTGAGGCGGCTGTGGGGCAGAGAACAAACAATGTGGAATTAAATTTCTCTGGAAAAACAATGTGGAATTAAATTTTCTGGAAAAAAAGGCTCCACAAGTGAAGACCTAAGCATCTCTCTGGGCGTAGGGCCCACGTCACTGGTGCCAGGCTGGACTCCCACTGCCGTCCAGGCTCCGTGGTTGAGCAATCCCAGGTCCTGAGGCCATGCGCCCCTTCCCCCCACCTCCCCACCCTGTGTCACCTCAGAACTGTCACCAGAGAAGGGCTCCAAGTTTTTCCAGACCCTGACCAGAGACAGCTGGGAGCCCTGAAACAGGAGCATCCCCCTGGGACCAGTCCGCACCAGCTGTAGGTGGTGCTGCCACTGCCGCTGGGGGCGGGGGAGGATTTCAGGATCAGGTGGCAAAGACTAGCAGATGTGGTGAGACTGGCGGTCTCCCTGGGTCCCCAGACCCCAGCAGCATATTCTAGAGTGACAGACCCCAAGAGGCACAGAGAAAGCCACCCACTGACTTCCCCAGTTCCCAGCCCAGCACCATCGTAGAGCCAGTTAAGAAAGGGCCCTGCACATGTAGTCTCCACACGATGGAATATTACTCAGCCACGAAAAAGCATGAAGTACTGACACATGCCGAACACAGGTGAACTTTGAAATCACGAAGCTGAGTGGAAGAAGCCAATCACAAAAAAATCACACATTGTATGATTCTACTTGTATCAAATATCCAGAATAGGCAAATCCATTAGCCAATTTCCTGGGAGTCCAACTCCAGAGTCTAGACTTTTTTTTTTATCCTCACCCGGAGATATTTTTTCATTGATTCTAGAGAGAGAGGAAAGTAGAGGGAGAGAGAGAGAGAAACATCAATTGATTGCCTCCCATACATGCTCCAACCGGGGATCGACCCCACAACCTGGGTATGTACCCTGACCGGGAATCAAACCTAGGACACTTTGGTGCATGAGACAATGCTCCAACCAAGACACACCGGTTAGGGCCAGAGTCTAAACTTTTAACTCCTACACTCTGCTGCCTGACAAAATCTTAAAGAATTCAAGTCCCCTGACTCCCCATCTGGGGTCAGACACTGCGTTAATCAGGCTGCCACTGCTGTGCCCTCTCCAACATTTTGGTGACTTCCCATATAAAGACTTCTTTCTTCCACAGGTGCAATGGCCGTGGGCCAGGCCCAGGCTCCTTCCACTGACTGCAGAGAGGGCCCTGACATCTCCCCTGAGCCCTTCACATCAGTCCATCGGACAGAGAAGAGAGTGAGCCAAAGGGGGTGTTTTAAGGGTCAGACTAGGACATGGTTCACATCTCTTTGGCCACGTTGCGCTGTCCAGAACTCAGTCCGCGGCCCCATCTAACTACCGGGGAAGCTGGGAAATATAGTCACACTCTGTGCCCAGAAGGAAAGGAGATTTGAATCTGGGGGAAAGACAGCATAGGCACGGCCATGGATGCCACGCCCTTTGACCACATGGCTCCAGGCCGGCTGTGTGTGAAGAGCTGCAGGTGCAGCCAATGTCATCAGAGCTAAGCTCAAGACATGAAAACAAGGGTGTGCACGCAGGCGGGGCCAGAAAGGTGTGAGAGCAGTGAGTGTGCTCTTACTCACCTGCTAGGCTCAGCAGGAGGCCTTGGGTATCCAATGAGTTCAACTCGAGCTTAGGGGTACTCGGGATCACACACAGTACTCACCCCCTCTCCCAAGCTGGCCAGGGACCCCCTTCTCTAGGCCAGGCCCTGGGCAGATGGCCCAGCAGCTTGGGCTACGGCTGCTCCTGGTTAGGAGTAGGACACAGGCGCTGATGTCCCTAGGTGTGTCCCTATACCTTCCCTCTCTCAGGGACAGTGAGGGCCCAAGCAGGGCCACCTGAGGGTGACAGTGCTGAGCCCCATCCTGTCTGGTTTGGGACACAGGCGGCTGGTTTTCTTTTCAGATTTAACTCTGAGGTGTACGAAACAGCGAACTATGCCCCAAGCCAAAGACAAATAAATTTGTCCAGAGAGGACACACGACATACCCCTGAGCAGAGTGATCCAGACGGCCTGTCATAAGGCAGGAAGGGGCCAGGAAGGAACAGAACACTATTAAGAAGCATGTTCGCCCTAGCCAGTTTGGTTCAGTGGTTGGAGCGTCAGCCCTCGGACTGAAGGGTTGTTGTGGGTTCGATTCTGGTCAAGGGCATGTACCTCGATTATAGGCTCGATCCCCAGTCCTGGTCAGGGTGCCGGTGGGAGGCAACCAATCTCTGTGTCTCTCTCACATTGATGTTCCTCTCTCTGTGTCTCTCCTCCTCCCTCCCTCTCTCTCTAAAAATCAATGCAGGTGAGGATTAACAAAAATTAACAGAAAGAAGCATGTTCACACCTGTCCTAGGCATGGACCTGCTTCCCCAGAGAGCACTGGTTCTTGGGACCACAGAACACCTGTCCCTCTGGGGGCCGCATTGACCAGCCTGCACTGCCTCCACACACCTCTGTGGGGGTCAGGGGAGGCCCTGAAGGCAAGGACCTGAGTTTCAGTCCGGCTCTGTCACCACTTGCAATGGGCCCTAAGCCCCCTCCCTCTCTGTGCCTCAAGCTGACCCATGGTCCAGTGAGATCTGACCTCCAGAGTGAAGTGCACATGCCCTCAGGCAACAGAAGGACCTGCTGGCACGTGGAAAGAAAATGTTAAAGTTCAATGTACACATTTACATGCATTTCTGTCTAAAGTAGGGAAGTTCGGCTCTACCGATATTTAACATCCAGACTGACCTGGGTGCTGGGTGTGTTTTTGGCCAATTGTGTCCCCCCATATTAGTCAACGTCTAGGGGGAGGAGCAGAGAACTTGGGGGCAGCCTCCTCACTCTCTTGCTCAATTTTCAACACATGGTGACATCCTGCCATTTACATAGGCCCAGTTCAGTGGAATTTGCAGATTGTAGTGTGGTTCGCACTAAATTAATCCGCCTTTCAACAGACAAGTGGCCTAAAATGATCTCTGCAAAGAAACACCAAGAAAATAGCAGCACTTCACCTTAATCCTAGGATGTGATTTCACCTGATGCTCCAGGGAGGGGAGACAGGGTTGTCTGTTGAGAGTTACAGCAGATGTCATTCCAGAAATGACATCTCTTTTCATCAGGGTCAAGGTGACGTTTAAACAGCTGTTGGGGGAGGACCTTTTTTGGAAGGAACATAGTATGATTTGGAAGTAACGTTTCAAAATGTTCTCATCGTTATATGATTTTGTTGTTGAAAACCTTGTGTGTTCCCAAGATCTTTTATAGCTACCCTTAAACACACACACCCACACCCACACACACACACACACACAGAACAAAAAGGAATTTTTTAACTTGCTTATAAAACTCTTCCAAATGAAGTGTTTGAGTGGGTTTTAAACCCATTTGCAAAAAGCATTAAAATGCAACATATTCCGATTTCGTTGTGAGGACAACTGATTGACATGAGGGAAGGTGGAAATTTGAAAGTCAATTTTGAACAAAACTTTTGCATAATGGGTAGATGGCATTGAAAATTGAAAACTAAATGTCATGATTTAATGAGCCAGGCCCACAATGCGTGGCATCCGTCTGGGGCTAGGTATCTTCATGAGGCCCCCTCTTCAGCTGTGACAGCCTTTCACACTGAATATTGCAATAAACCAAATTCAGTCCCAGGCCTTCACGTCGCCCTTCCACAAAGTGTTAAACCAGGATTTTCAAAAATAAAGAAGCACATTTAATGGCATGGCTCTCATTGTCAGAACAAAAAGGGATGTTGTGCCATTATTAAGTGAAATGCCATAAAAATTACTTTAAAACTGTACTTATTACATTTGTCACTTTTGTTTATATCGTTTTATAATGTACATAATATAACATACATATATAATTTATTTATATAAGCATAATGTATCTGATCATGTACATATATTTTTAAATGTGCATACTAATGTATATTCATGTATCTAGTTCATGTACATAATTTATAAAGCTCTATGTATGTAATTTATAAATACATAGATACCAGGGGTGCCTGCTTAACATTTTTTACCGATGATGTATGAGCAATCAAGTTTGAGTTCAAGGACGACTGAGCACCTCTGGGCCCCTCCAGCTCTGGTATTAGAGTCTGCAGGGGACCCACCCTGTATAGGTAGGGCATTCATAAGAAAGATATTCCCAGATTGGGCCTCACCTATCACACAGGTAGAGTTTCAGGCATGCACACTTTTCTAAAGTTTTTTTTAGTCAATTTTTTAGAGAGAGAGAGAGGGAGAGGGAGAGAGAGAGAAACATCCATGTGAGAAACAACTGGCTGCCTCTTGCATGCAGGGAATGAACCTGCAGCCTGGGCATGTGCCCTGACAGGGAATGAATCAGACCAGCAACCTTTTGGTGCACAGGACGCCCACTACGCCCAACCCACCGGCCAGGGCCAGGCATGCACATTTTACAGCTAAGACGTCAGAGATGCAGAAGAGTAAAACCTGAGACGTGTTCCACCTCCCATCGGCATCCCCATCATAAAGACCAGCATCCCCTCCCCTCGGATAATCCCCTCACGCTCCTCCTCACCCCTCCCACTGCCACAGGAGAGTGAAAACGAGACTCCCCTCCTGCTCAGAGGGAATCGGTGGCCCTGAGAGGGTCTTTCCTGGTGGGCCCAGCAAACCGGCCGTGGAGAGTAAGTGTACATGCAGGCATCCAGAGTGCAGTCTGGCCTTTTACCTGCTCTGCTCTCTCTGCACCTGGATGCAGAGCCTGGTTTTTGGTCACCAACATTCTCACTCTCCTCTCTGCTGGGAATCGCTGCCTCACGTGCTACAGAGAGAGCCAAGGACGTTCAGGAGCCTACCCACCCATGTCAGCTCTCTGCCCCATCGTAGCAAAGAACATCCCTTCCCCAATCTTTGTATCTGTCCCTACCCCAAAGAAGAGAGAGTCGCAGGAAAAAGCAGGCCTGCACCGCTGCTACCCTCATAGGGGGCTCATCACCTGCCTGGAGCAAAGGAATTGTTGTTCTATGGCACAAATACGTTCATGCCGTTCCCTCTCTGCTCTGCTTGGAAACTTCCTCTGGAGGGTATATGCTAAGTGAAATAAGCCAGACAGAGAAAGGCAAATAACATATGATTTCACTTATATGCAGAATCTAAAAAAAATAAACAAACGAAACAGAAACAAACTCATAGATACAGAGAACATTCTGATGGTTGCCAGATGGGAGGGGCTTGGGGGGGATGGGTGAAAAAGAGGGGAGGATTAAGATGTGCAAATTGCCAGTTATAAAGTAGTCATGGGGATGTAAAGTACTGCATAGGGAATATAGTCAATAATAGTGTAATAGCCCTAATTGGTTTGGCTCAGTGGATAGAGTGTCAGCCTTCGGACTGAAAGGTCCCGGGTTCAATTCCAGTACCTTGGTTGCGGGCACATCCCCAGTAGGAGGTGTGTAGGAGGCAGCTGATAGATGTTTCTCTTTCATCGATGTTTCTACCTCTCTATCCCTCTCCCTTCCTCTCTGTAAAAAAATCAATAAAATATATTTAAAAAAATAATAGTGTAACAACTGTGTATGGATGGTGTCAGATGGGTGCTAGACTTATCGGGGTGGTCACCCCGTAAGTTATTTACATGTCTAATCACTATGTTGTACACCTGAAACTAATATTTATTGCATGTCAACTGTAATGGAAAGTTTTAAAACAATTTTTAAATAAATAAATGAAAATAATTTTTTTTAAAAAATGCTTAAGCTTCCTCTGTATCTCCATTGCTCACAGCAGAAAAGCCAGGTTGCCTAGGGCAACCCACAGGTCCTTCTCCCCCCACCCAGCCCACCTGCATCAGTCACCGGCAGGAAGCAGAAACCACATGAGCTAATTTCAGCGGAAAGGAATTTCACGCAGGTAATTCGGTACTTACTAAATCACTGGGAGGGTTAGACCAGCTGGCTGCACCTGCAGGAATGTCTCCCAGAGACACCCTCTGGGTGGAGGGGATGGGACAACAGGACCCACCTTGGAACTGCCCCCTCTGGCATCATCAAGAAGATAAGGAATCAGGAGCCACCCAGACTCTGTTGCCTTCAAGAACCATCACTTAACTAATAGAAGGGTCAGGAAGTCATTTCAGCGACAACCCACACCTGTGTGCTAGGTGCTGGAAGGCAGCTTCCCCCAAAACCCAGTGTCTCCATAACCGTGCAGACCGGAGGCAGCAACAAGCCACCTCCCCAGGCCACGCTGCCCAGCCAGAATTCCAGCGGCAAGGGAGGTGAGAAATGCAGGGGCCAGGAAGGCTCAGCGGGGAAGACAGGGTAGAGGCGAAGCTAGACACACACTGCCTTTCCAAATTCTTCATCCAACAGTCTTCCCTCACTCACCCTGAATTCCAGCCACAGAGACCTCGCCAAGGGTCCCCGGAACACCCCAGGCTCTTTCTCGCCTCTCTGATCCCCCCCAGGCTGGTCACCAGCCCCCTCCACTTCAATGTCCTTCAAGAGCCTGGGATGCTTTTCCCTCAGGCCGGGGTTACTGCAGCCCAAAGTTGTCCAAAGAAACATAATGCCAACCGCTTACGTAATTCTACATTTCTAGGAACTACATGTGGTTGGTTGAATAATGGCCGCCCCAAAATATCAAATCCCAGCCCCTATCACGCTTACCTGATTTGCAGCTGTAGTTAAGGATTTCAAGATGAGATTACCCTGGATTACCCAGGTGGGTCCTGGATGCCATCACAAGCGCCCTGACAAGGGAGAAGCAAGAAGAGGTAAGAGAGGAGAAGGCAAAGCAAAGAGGAGGCAGAGACTAGAGCGATGGGGCCACAAGCCCAGGGATTCTGGGGCAGCCTCAGGAGGTGGGAGAGGCAAGGACCACATTCTACCCTGGTTATTTTTTATCGAACCCAATATCAACATAATATTATCATTTCAACGTGTAATTAATATAAAAAATGATGAATGAGGTTGCTTACGTTCTCTTTTTTCATACAAGGTTTTTGAAATCTGATGTGCATCTTACACCTATAACAGCATCTCACTTCAGAAGAGCCACATGGGCCCTATGGGATGGCACCGTTTCAACAGATTTTTTAAGGCCATACGTTGACGTGAAAATTACAGAGTTCATGATGGAAGCACATTAGGAAATGGTGTGAAAGCAAAGGCTATATGCTCTGTGATTGACAGACGCAGCGGTGATTGGGTAGTGAGTCCCCTGGAGAAGGTCCTCCAGCCTAGCGCCAGCCTGAGTTCAAAGCTCCGTTCCCAGATTAAAAAGAAAAAGAAGGAAAGACAAAAGCTGTGCTCGGCCTCCATTCCAAGGAGCCCCTGTGCTGCCCCGGATGGCCCCAGCCAGACGGGCCCGGGAGGCGGCTGTGGGAAGGGTCGCCTGCCCACGGCCATCCGCCTTCCCAAGGTCAAGGACTTCACTCCCTGCAAGCTCTGCCAACCCACGGCCCCGCCCCTGGTTGGCACATGGTCAGAGGAATGCCCAGATCCAGCGCACCTTGGTCTTAACAAGTCCCTGCCCAGCCAAGCAGGTCTCCCCTGATCAGGTGATGCCTGTGGGGCCAAGGCAGGGGCCGAGGGCCGGGGAAGCAGGGAGTTTGGGAGCCCTTCACACAAGCCCAGCCCCAGCCCCCCTCAGGCCAGGCCAGGCCAGGCCAGGCCCCCACCCGAGGCCTCCCTTCCTTGTGCTGGAGCCAACCCTACCTGAGTCCTGAGCCCACAGACAAGGGAGGGGTGGGGCCTGGCGGCTGTCAGCCACAAGTAGGGCCCTGAGGGGAGGAGGGAGGGCAGGATAGTGGGTGCTCTTAAGTCTGAAGTGAACTACGCCTCCCTCACTCCTCACCTGGCCTCTGAGCTGTCTTGATCCCAGGAGCCAGAAGTGAACTCAGCCACTGCCTGCCCTGGACCCCAGGTAGGTGCCTTTATTCTGCAAGGAGCTTTATGCAATCACCTTCCCAGCGGACTCGTTTAACCCTGTATCCTCTGCTTCTCCACTTCTGGGGCCCGGGCTCAGAGCGCAGGTGGGGAGAACTGGGGAAGTGGCTGTGGCTGAGAGACATGGTCTCAGGACCACAGACCCCGGCGTTTAACGCTTTGAGGGAGCAAATCTGTACCCTTCTGAGTGCAGATGAGAGAACCAAGGTGCAGGGAGGGGAAGAGGTTTGCCCAAGGTCACGGAGACTCGGGAAGGGACAGGCACAGAACCAGGCCTCCTGCCTCCCAGCCTGGTCCTGAGCCCCGGTGCTGGGCCCCTCAGGCTGCTGGGCACCCAGGGGGGGGGACCATGGCCTTCGCTGGTCCTGCGGTCCCTGGGTCTGGGTGGAGGGGATGGGACAACCGGAAGCCACTCTACCAGGATAGGGTTGAGTAGGGGTTGGACTATTGAGGCAAGGGGCTTTTGGGGGAGCTTCGGGCGTCCCTCTCTTCTACCCGCTCCCTTCGCTGACCTGGGCTTGGGGGAGGTTGGCTATGAAGCAGAGGAGATGTGCTCCCCGCCTCCTGAGCCCTTGGGAACAAAGAAAGATCTGAGTCAAAATCTGAAGGGGGAGTGGGTGGGAGGGACCTATAAATAGGCCTGAGCTGGCTGGAGCCCTCCGTGCCCACCATGTACCCCCACCCTCCCCTACACACACACACACACACACACACACACACACAGCCCTGAGCCCCAGGCACCCTCCCCTGCCTCTCAGAGCAGGAAAGAGAGCTAGTGGTGGGCAGGATGTCCAGGGATAAAACACTGAGCCCAGACCCTGCCTGGGGAGGTCCAGGGTGATTCGGGGACTGTTCAAAGTGAGAACAGTGAAAAAGAGCCTCCCAGCCTTGTCCCTCAGGTTCCAGAATCCCAGGATGGAAAGAGGTGAAAGGGGCCCTAAATCTACGAAGCGCAGGCATCGGGCGTGGGAGCCTCGACCACCCAGGTTCCGGTCCCAATCCCACCACCGGGTCCTGTGGGCTGTGTAACCTCGGGCAAATCCCGGAGCCTCTCCAGCCCCACAGGAAGAGTACCCGCCTCACAGACCACTGAGAAAATGAAACGAGTAGGTGTTAAGTACGTATCTGTCATTATATTGTCCCCATTATATAGATGGGACAAGTGAAGTCCAGGGCGGCACAAAAGCAGTTTCCAAATCAGTAGGCAGGCATCCTGGGTTCTCCTCCTGGGGGGGAGACCCAGGCCCCCCGATGTCCTCCATAAAGTCAATACCCCAGCCTCCTCTGCGGGGCCCGGACCAAACCCTGCAGGGCACGCCGAGATCCTGCCCCAGCAAAGCCAGGCCTCTGGGAGCACGTGAGGGAAAAGCCACAGCTCCGTGTCCTCAGCTGCCCCCAGGAAGAAGCTCAGAGGCCGGTTCCCGTCCACTGCCATTTATAGACACGCTGCAGGAGCCTGGGCTGTGCCACCCGCTCCAGGACCCGGCCAAGGAGAGGTCTGGCAGGGGCCTGGCTTTCCTCATTCACTCACTGTGTGACTTGGGCAAATCACAACCCCTCTCTGGACCTCAGGGGTCCCTCTGCACTTGAACTCAATGTGGTACAAGGAGTTAAGAGTCCAAAGTCCCGCGGCCGGGGTTTGAATCCCAGCTCTATCACTTTTCTTAGCCTCTCTGAGCCTCGGTGTCTTCATCTGTAAAATGGGCTGGTACTAGGGGTGCAGAACTTCCTCGGAGTGTGAGATGCGAGTGAGCAGATGTAACACACATAGATGAGCTCCTGGCACGTGGTGAATGCTCGATAAGTGGGAGCTGTTATTATTTTTTCTTATGAAGTTGTTATACTCTAGACAAGCCCTTATTTCTAAGTAGTATTTCGAGTTACCCAACTGCTTTTTCAAGCAGCACCTCATTGGTTCCGTGTGGCTCTCTGGTGGGGGCCGGGGGTGGGTGCAGGGCAGGAGTTCCTCTGCCCATCTCACAGATGAAGAAACTAAGGTCAGATTACACCTTAAGGAACTGTATGAGCTGGGAATCGAATCTGAATCTTCAGGTTCTCATTTCATTTGGCCCAGGCTGATCTCCGTACCTTTTCCAGCACTGGGGGTCCGACTCTAAAGCAGGATGTGATGACAGCGTCTTGGAAAAAGGGAGGAGCAGAGTTGAGGAATATTGGGGGGCAAGTGGTGAGGCTCGGGGCATGCAGTGTAGTGTGACCAGCGTGTCCCCGCTGCTTACAGTTTTCTTGGCAGCCTCAGTCCTAGAACCTCTTGCCTCCTACCCAGCCCCGCCTGCAGGGAAGTACTGACATGTGGTATTAAGGTGAGACAACAGGGAGAACTTTCCACAGGAAGGGAACTGAGGAAGTTGAAACATCTCTTTCCTGGATGGGCCCCCAGGGGTGAATATCATCTGATGATATCACTCCCCAGCTCAAAACTGTTCTGTAGCTCGCCCTTGCCCTCAGGGTTGAGACATCACTACTGAGCCCAGCCTGTAAGGCTCTGCAGGGTCTGGCCAGTCTGCCCCCTCTCACTCCCACCCCATCTTTTCTTCCATCTACCCTAGGAGTTCCCTGTTTCCCGGGCGCTCAATAGTGCCTCCTGATCCCCCCTGACTGTCAAGCTTCTGAAAACACCTGCCTCATCCCCACCTACCTGGCCAGCTAGCTCCTGCTTTTTCTTCTTGCCTCCCTTTACATGTTTCTTCCTCCAGGAAGTCCTCCCTGACCTCCCCACCAGTGCCTACCGAGTCCCCTCTGCTTCCCCTCCTCCCTGGTGACACTGCTTATGATTGCTCACCTGCTCACTTGGTTTCACACACTGGCCCCTGGGAAGTAGCAGCTAAAGGCAGGGGCTCAGACATCAGGCAGCCTGGGGTCCGGCCCTGCTCTGACACTGGTCGGCCACGCACCCCTGGGCAAGTTCCTCCCCTCTCTGTGTTCCATCCTCACATTGTAATATGGTGTAATTATAGTGTGACCTCAGAGGGTTGTTAAGAGGGTTTTAAAAGACTTTGTGTGTAAACACCAGTGCCTATGCACACAGAAATTGCTCAGTAAACATTAGCTAGTATTTATTTAACAAATAAGGCTGGGACATAGAGAATATTTAATAAACTGCTACTGACGTTATTATATTTAACAATAACTTGCATAATGCTTACTATGTGCCAGGCACTATTCTATGCATGTTACAAATATTAACTCATTTTACAGAGAAGGAAACTGAGGCACAGAGAAGTGAATTAACCTGCCCAGTGGTGTACTGCTAGTAAGGGGTGGAGCCAGGATGCAAACCCAGGCAGTGTGGCTCCAGCATCCATGAAATGAATGAATGGATATGCCTTCCTTTTGGAGGGGGAAGGCAGGGGCTTCATCTACAAAAGACACTCAGCTGCCACCCTGGCCTCTTTCAGGTCCTGCAAAGCTCCTGGTTGGCAAGTGACACCTCTGGGACCTAAGTGAGGCTGGTGAGAAGCCAGAGCTGCACCGCCGGGTCGCTGCCCCCGCCATGTCGCAGGTGATGCCCAGTCCCCTGCTGGCAGGAGGCCACGCCGTTCTCTTGCCTCCCTGCGAGGAACCCAGGAGGGCCCTGCACCCAGCACCCAGCCCCAACCTGCCACCCCAGTATCCTTACTACACCACGGAAGGCTGGGGAGCCCAGGCCCTGATGGCCTCCACGCCCTGCAAGGAGCCCCCCAACAGGCTCCAGCAGGCCCCCCAGGCTGGAGCCAAAGCCAGCTGCCTCCTGCGGTCCCCTGGTGAGCAGCCCTCAGGGGCCCTGGAGGACTCCTACATTGGCTTCTCACTGGAGAGCCTCAACCAGATGATTCTGGAACTGGACCCCACCTTCCAGCTGCTCCCCACAGGGTCCGGTGGCCCCTGGGCAGAGCCCACCCAGAGCACTACCTCGCAGAGAAAGAAAGAAGAGCCTGAAGCCTTGGGTAAGGACCAGGGGCCCGGTGCCAGGAGGGGGGCTTGGGGATCAGACCTCGTGAAGAAGGAACTTTCTGTAGACTCAGAGGAGCAGGAGGCCATGTCCTGGGGGGGAGATGACATGCAGCCTTAGCGACCTACTGAACTTCTCTGTTTTCTCTGCCATACAAAAGGGGACAATACAAGTGTCCCTCACTCTCCACCTCCTTTTGGCTCCTGAGTTTGGAAAGTGATGGACACCTGTTTTGTGGGATTTTCCAGAGAATGTAAATAAGCTAATAATATTTTTTTCTACAACTCCATGCATTATACATAGGAGCGCGATGAATGTGGGGTCCCTGCACCTTGCTACTGCATGGTGTCTCTCCTTGGGTCCTAACCTGGGCCCCTTACATGTTTTGTAGGATTTCTATGTGAACCCCTGTCCTTGTTCAGGGGAGCATTGCTCTGGGGAGGCCCAGGCTGGAAGGAGTAGGGTTGGAGAGACACCGATTTCAGCCCCTTGTGTTTAAGCAGTAGGGTGCTGGTAAATGTTTAACAGCCGGCTTCCTGGTGGGGTGGGGGAGAGCCCTGCTATGAAGCAGGTACCAATTTCCACGGTGTAAGTTCTCCCACTCCCACTCAGTTTCAGGCTGCCAACGTGTTGTCACTGAATGTGGCATTAGAAAGAGATACACAGTAGCAAACCACTGTATAGTATTGACACCTAGTATTTATCACTCCTGTTTTTAATGTAAGTTATTTCATTGTAACTTTATATACTTTAATTTTTAATAATGCCTGAGTTTAGCAACCAGCTGTACAAAATCCTGAAAATTTAACAACCAGCTTCCCTAGCTGGTACAGGCCACTTCCAGTACACCACTGACCCTCGGGGATCTAGAAATCCCTACATCTGGCTTCAGTTTCCCAAACAGTTTTCAGTAT